GTGACATCAGCCTCGAGGGATGGATGCTCACCTGATCCCAGGCTCTGTCCTTCACTGAGTAGCTGCCCATGGGTTACCTGATATACCTTAGCTTCCTTATCTGTAAAATGAAGGTAATGTCTTGCCCACCTAAGAGAGTTGTGTTAATCCCAAAGATGGGAGAAGGAGGACCACCCTTCATATCATCATAGCCAAAATTAATTAAAGCAATCAATTATTTAAGGCAAGTTTTTTTGTTTTTGTTTTTTGTTTTTTGTTTTTTTGTGAACACAGGCTGCCTCCCTCTAAGGCGGTGATTGAGAGGTCAACCTTGGATGTGAGGAAGACAAGGTTTTTATAGCTCAAGGGTGGGGGTTTCCAAATGGCAGATTTGGGAGGCAAAATAGGCATGGTTATAGTAGAAGAACATGATCACAAGTTAGTCCTAATGATCTCCTGAAACAAAGACATGGTTGCAATGTGGGCACAATAAGGTAGACATAACAACCCTTTTGAAACAAAGGTAAGGTTGCAAGATAGTTATAAACAACTCTTTGAAACAAAGATATAAATGCCATTCCTGGAGCAGGCAGCACAGAACCATTTGTAGTTAAGGTTACAGGCAGAGCATAACCCAATCCTTGAGAAACAAGTTCAATCATAAACAGGAATGACTGTTTGTCTTTACCATAAAATGGCCCTTTAAACCTAAGATGGAGACAGACTGGTTCTTCATTTGGTTGTGAAAATACAAGTGGGTAATCACTGGGAAATGCTTACTCTGTACAGGGCCTAGAAGATCAGAAGCCCATAACAAGAGATGCAGTTTGCCATGCTATGAACTGACTACTACTATAAAGTAGGGGTAACATAACTAACTTGCCTGTGGGGGCGCCCATTCTATGTAGATCCAAGAAAGAGCTCAAGGTTACATCACCATCACAAACAATGGAAAGTGAGACAATAGACTTCATTGCCTGACACACAAACCACCACTGGACTGACTCTCAAGAAAACATATGTAATCCAATGGACACTAGCAGGGAATGGGAAGGAACAAATTATAAACGTAAAATAAATGTTCAACCATGAAAAGAGAAGGAAGCAAAAAAATGTTAAAACGAGTTAAAATACTCTCCAATTTAAAGTTGCTAAAGTGGCCCTGAAAAATGCTAAAATAAAGAAAATGTATTTAGCAGTTTGTTTGCATCCTCACATCTCTTTAGCTCAAATGCTTCCCTCCCATGAAGCCAGAAGCCAAATTCTCAAAAATAATCAAAGGTGGTGAGCAAGGAAAACACGCTGCACTCTTTCCACTGCAGGCCGGAGAAGAACTACGGCCAGAAGAGAGAGAAGCTCTGTTGACAAAACCATAGCCCTTTCAAAAGTTCAAGTTGCAGGGATTTTGGTTAGAACTCTGCACTTTTTGATTAAAAATTCATGTCATGCTTCCTAAAAATGATCAGATTAATCATATCCCATGAGTTTAAATTCTGACCCATTCTAAAATGACATTGTTTACAGCACACTACTTCAGGCCCTTCATACAACGTCCTGAATAAAAATCCATACCACTTCAAAGCTGAAAGCATCTAACAGTATATGAAGCACTCCTCTCTAGGGACTCGGGGGAAGCTGTTTTGCATTCAGTTCAGCACATCATAAACAGTGTTGATTCTCCCCCATTGAAAGTGCCCCTGAAATACATCCCAGATTTCACAGAAACTGGATGACACCTTGAACATCCCACAGCAGGGAAGACAATGCTGACATTTCCCAAGCCTTGGCTCTGCAAAGAAGTAACTCCTCCGAGGACCTGCCCTAACCGCTCACTTAATGAAGAAGCCTGTTTACAACAAAGCTAGGTAAGAGGACCCCAGAGATGTACCCATGAGCTGTCTCGTGAATGGAGTTAGTTCTACACGAGTCCATTTCCAGAAGAGGCTGAGCTATCCTCCTCCGTCCTAACCCAAGCAAGGGCTGGGATTTGATTTTTAAAAACACTGTGTGTGTTTCTAATGGACAAATGGACACTTTACAAGGAAGAGAATGAAAAGAAACACACCCACAAACATACAATAAGAATAAAGAAATAAAGGTTTGGAGCTGGAGAGAGGCGTCAGCAGAAAATGACCAACTTCTTCCTCACCCTCCTGATCTGAGACAAAACTCTGGCAGCTTAAAACAAAGGCTTTGTAGCCTTTGTCTCCCACCAGCAGGCCTCATGCTGATGGACGAGCTAAGGAGTTCAAGGCCTGCTCAGGACTGGCTGGAGAGACACTAGCCCACTAGAGCATGTCGCTCTGAAAGGAAGGCCTTGCCCTTCTCCCCCATTCCCTCTGTCTTGCTAAAAACAGTTAGATGACATTCCTAAAGCTAGCCATCAAGGTCTATTCCATTATTTGGCCACTTCCTCCTTCTGAGGCTGACTACCAAACTCCAGCAATCAGAACCCCACTTTGGCTGATTAAATGCCCAATTAAAATTAAACACCTCTTCCTAACACAGGTGTCCCCCCTTAACCTTTATAAACCACCATTTGCCTGTTCCGTGTCTGTCTCCCCTCTATACAGACGCAGTCCTTTGTCCCTCCTGGACAAATATCCCTGCCCCCTTTGCTGTAATTCAGGCAAACCTGGCCCCGCCTCTCACCCACCTGCTCATGGCAGGTGTATGTACCCCGGCCCTTTAAAAGAAAAACTCCACCCACTTCTGTTCTCTCTTTCCTGCTGTTCCCCTGAAAGGGCAGACAGGACTTTTCCTGTCTCCCTCTCTCTCTCTGTCTCTTCACCTCTTTTCTCTTTCCTTCCCTTATTTTCTTACCTCCCCCTCGACAGAACTTTCAATATGTGTCATGTCTACAGTCTCTGTTTCCCACCTGCCCACTGTGCCGCAGGGACTGCCATTTTCGGTCCCAGCCCTTTGTGCTGTACTTCTAACACCCTTTCCCTTATCCCCTTCGCCTTCTCTCTCATCCTCTATCTCCTTTACCATCCTAGCCCATTCTAACACAGACCTCCCCTGATCCTCCTCTTAAGCATACCTGCAAGGTCATTTGCTGCTGTTTTATTTCTACCTGACTCAGAAAGCAGCCACGTTAACTTTTCATCCCTATTTAATAAAGGGTCTCTCTCTGAAAAGTGTTTGGGTGCAGTTTGTGCCTAATCCTGGGTCTGGGGAGGGAGCCCCCACTGTGTGGGTGACCCCTTCACCCAGCACACAACAGTTCTGGGCCAAGCAACCATCCTAGTGTTCATCAAACTCACCAATCCTAAATTAGGGAAGGAAAACTCTTCAGAGGTTTTAAACAGCTCCATCCCAGATTTTTGGTTTACAGGGGTCTTTTTCTCTGTGTGCCTGCTATGTGCATGACATACACAAGCTCAATCAATGCCTTTCTTCCACTCCTGATTTTGACTTCGGTGCTTGAGATTTCTCTGCTGCTACCTGATGTGCTTCAGATTTTTCCTGCTTTTTAATTCTTTAACTAGCAGAGAAAATGAACCCAGTCAAGACCTCTAAACTGTATCACAACCATGTTCACCTTCGTCATGTGGGTGATGAGATCCAAACTCAGATCCTCTTGCTGTCACAGCAAGTAGGCATTCTTACCCACTAAACTATCTCTCCAGTCTCAGGATTCTAATCTTTTATACATATGTACACACACACATTTTTATATACATGTACACACACACATGTAAAGTGTGTGTGTGTGCATGCGTGCATGCGTGCATATGTGTGTGTATATGTGTGTGCGTGTCTGTGTGTATATGTGTGTGCGTGCGTGCATGCATGCATGTGTATGTATATGTGTGTGCGTGTGTGTCTATGTGTGTGTGTATGTGTGTGTATGTGTGTGTGTATGTGTGTGTATGTGTGTGTGTGTAAGTGTGTGTGTGTGTGTAAGTGTGTGTGCACGTGTGTGTGTATGTGTGTGTGTTTGTGTGTGTGTGTGTGTGTGTGTGTTTTCAGGGAGGTGTTTTTTGGTTTTAGGACACACTCGAGGGTGAACTGGCTGACACACAGCACCTTACACTGCTTATCCATTATGCTCTTAGACCAGTGTCTCCCACTCCTGTCCTCAAACACACAAAGAAAATATTTTATAGATGTGCAGATAGGTAGGTAGATAGATAGATAGACAGACAGACAGAAAGACAGACAGATAGATAGATACATAGATAGATAGACAGACAGATAGATGTAGGATCTCAGAACTTTTTGTACTGATTACCTGCCAAATACCACAATATTCTACATATATTAAACCAAATATCTGTCTGTAACCCTGTTTCAGGGATCTGATACTCTGCTGCTGACTGTGTGCACACCTGCACTCACATGCATACACCTACACACACACACACACACACACACACACACACACACACACACACAGAGAGATTTTTTGTGTGTGTGGGTTTTTTTGTGGGTTTTTTTTTTTTTTTTTTTTTTTTTTTTTTTTTTTTTTGAGACAGGGTTTCTCTGTGGCTTTGGAACTAGCTCTTGTAGACCAGGCTGGTCTCGAACTCACAGAGATCTGCCTGCCTCTGCCTCCCAAGTGCTGGGATTAAAGGCGGGCACCACCACCACCCAGCTCACACACATAGTTTTAAAATAAACTTTTAAAAACTCTGTCATAATTAGTTTTACTTGTTTCTTTTTATTTGGGGAGGTTGTTATTTTGATGCAGGGGAATTGAACCCAGGACCTTGTTTGCTCTTATGTCTTTTTTTCAGTGTGAGCCTGAGCCTCACACAGTGTGAGCCCACCTACCTCTGATGAGCTCTGGCCTGTAGCTCTTGCGCAGCTGTTCCAGGAAGCTGTTGTAGAAGCTCTCTGCCTGCTCTGTGGGCATCGCCAGGTGGAAGTCAGGCTTGTTCCCCTTGAGGACACACTGGAGGGTGAACTGGCTGACACACAGCACCTCGTACTGCTTATCCATCACGTTCTTGGACCAGTGTTTCCCACTCTCATCCTCAAACACACGCAGATTTAAAATCTTTCGAACCCTATGGGGAAAGAGAGCAGTGAGAGCTACCTGAAGAATCACAAGGCTGCCAACACACTCCATACTTCCAAAGAAAGATACACAGACGACTCCATTACTCACAGAAACTTCGATATAGGCACATTAGTAAGCCATGCCTCGTTTCCTCACCTGTATTCTCGGTATTAACAGTCCAGCTTGAAAGTCCTGTTTCATGACTCTCTTTTGACAGTCCTTCTATTTCATAGCAGCCATCAGTGGACTTAAGATTACAGCCACCAAAACTACAAGAAAGCAGTAGAAACTGCAAGGGAAGTTCTGCTCCTCACACACACTGGACCTTTAGGTTCAAAAGTCAAAGTGTGTGGTCCAAGAGAACTACCAGGAAAGGAAGTATGACCACACACACACACACACACACACACACACACACACACACACACACACACACCCCATAACCATGTGGAACACAGAAACTACAGACAACAGCTCTCCTCCACCCTCCCTGACACACTAAGTAGAGCCTACTATAGCCAGAGGGATCTGAGAATTTCACCTTCTAGCTCAGCATAGCTATGCCAGCATTCACTCCATAAGCATTTTTTTTTATTTCTTACTTTCTAGTATTTGATCTCCATTCTTGCATTTATGGCTCATGATGGTTTTGTTTGTCTCTATATATTTTTCAGTTAGAGTTGTTTTGTGTGTTTCTCTACCCAGTTGACTGTATGGCATTTTTTCTATACTTTTCACCCTTACTCATATACTTGCCCTCTTATTCCTACATCTTCTTTCTCTCATCCTTATTCCTTTCTCTTTTATTTAATTGCAACCATCCATAGCTTTAACAATCACTAGAAACTGTGGGCTCCAACAACATTCCAACTAACCCCCCCCTTAGCTACTTACTTACCTTGATGTGTTTTTCATTTCAAAGTCAATCTAATGTTCATCCCTATCCTTGCCCACTCTACTTTCCTCTCAATCCCAGTCTTACTAAAATCCCAGTGTACTCCATACTGTCTTTGAATGTTTAGCCTCCAACAATTACTGAAGTCAAAAGGGCCACTGTTGTTAACGAGCTAGTACAACAGTTGCACAGTGGCAATGTCCGACTGGCTGTTCTCACAGATACTATTCTGCAATGGACTAATACAGAGCCTGAACCAGGCATCCTGGACTCCTGGACTAAGGAACTGTTTTTTAAATTACACTTAACTCTGCCATGTCCAACCATGTCCCACTTGAACACTGCAAATAAGTCAACTGAAAGCATATTGTTATTTTTAAAAAGCAAAGAAATAACACCAGATGCATAAATCTCAATACAATTGCAAGATACATAAAAGCCACAACAACATAATCCTTAAAAAATTACTACCTCTGCAATAATGGCATCTAGTGAGTAAGTTAGGTGAAATTCCAGATAACAAACTCAAAATAATTATGAGTATATTCAAAAACACATACAGCTAAACAAGGCACATAATAGAAACATGAAAGAGGAATTCAGCAAAAAATAGAAATACTGAAGAAAAGCCAATCTGCAATTCTGGAGATAAAAAAAAAAAAATCTGTGGAAAGTCTCAGCAATACAATGGCCCAAAGAGAGAACAGAATTCAAATTTGAAGATAAAATAGGAGAACTAGGACAATTTAGCAAAGACAAAGATAAAATAATATGAAGGTACCAATGGATAACTTCAGTACTTAACTCTCACCAAATTCAAGTCCATTCCAACAATAACTATATATGTTATATATCTATGTAAACTAAATAGCACCATAGCTCAAATGGAATTAACAGACATCTACAGAATATGCCATCCAAACACTGCAAATACACATTGTTTTTTCATTGAAGTCCATGGCATTTTCTATAAAAATAGATCATATATTAGGACATAAAGCAAGACTCACAACATACAATTAAGACCTGAAATTTTCAATGTCTTTGCATTGTCTGGTCACAATGAAGTAAGTTTACAGTTCAATAGTAAAAGAAACCCCAGAACACAGACTCATGGAGATTAAACAATACACTACTGATCAATGAATGTGCCCTTGGAGAAATCAAGAAGGAAATAAAAACATCCCTAGAATCAAATAAAAATGAAAACAGGCCAGGTGGTAATGGCACACACCTTTAATCCCAGCACTAGAGAGGCAGAGGCAGAAGAATCTCTGTGAGGTCAAGACCAGCCTTGTCCACAAAGTGGGGTTCTGGGACATCCAGGGCTACACAGAGAAACCCTGTCTCAAAAAACCCAAGAAGAAAAAAAGAAAAGAAAGGAAGTAGAACATGGTGAGTCCTATGAGATACAACAAAAGCAGTCCTAATAGGGATGTTTATTGCTCTAAGTGTTAGGATTCAGCCATTATGCTGGCCTGCTCCCTGTCACCTAGAAGGATGCACTCAAGGTAGTAACCTGGCCAGCGCTGGGTTCTAAGGCTACTATGTCACTATGTAGTGTGCACACCGGTGCAAAGGTCCCTTTAAGAGGCAAACTCGGCCCATTTCTATCTCTTTCCCACTGTTACTCTGAAGGGACAGGTAAGATTTTTCCTGCCTCTCTCCTCGCTCTCTCTCTCTCTCTCTCTCTCTCTCTCTCTCTCTGTCTGTCTCTGTCTCTCCCTCTCTCTCTCCCTCTCTCTCTCTCTCTTTCTTTCTCTCTCTTTCCTCTCCCCTCCTTCCTCCATTCCCTTCCCTTTCCCCCAATGAAACTTCCTTCCCATGTAAGTTCTGCCTGATGGCATGTTAGTCCCCCACCATGGGATCTGCCATGGTTCCACCTGGCATGTATTATAACACTAAGCACCTACATTCAAAATTGAGAAATAACAAATAAATAACTTAATGATATACAAAGCTCTGAAAAACAAACTAAACTTTATATCAGTGGGGGGGGGGTCATTAAGATCAGGACAAAAAATTATAAAATGGAAGCAAGAAAATAACAGAATCAATAGAACTAAAATTTGGTTCTTCCAAAAAATAAAAAAGAAAGTTTTATCCAAACTAACCAAGAGAAATAAAGAGAAGACCCAAATTAATAATATTAGAGATGAAAGGGGGCACTATTATAACAGATACCAATGAAATTGAGAAAGTCATTAGGTCTTATCTAAAAAACAAATACTGTAATAAATCTGAAACTCTAAACAAAAAAATGGATGAATTAGGCCTGCCAAATTAAGCCAAGATGAGACAAACAATTTAAACAGATCTATAAGCGGTGAAGTTGAAACAGAAATTTTTCAATCCCATAACTAAAAGACATCCACAGTATGACAGCTTCACTGGTGAATTTTATCAGACTTCAAAGTGAAGGGACCAGCTCCCCATTTCGGCAGCCATAACAGTAACACATGCTTGCCACGACCTTGCCTTGGTCACTAGGAGGTTAGGTGCCTGCCTTGTGGCAAAGAACCAATCAGAAGTTAGCTGGTGGTGCTATGCTTTACAGTTCTGGGTGTGCTTTACGGACAAGGGCACAGCAATGATGCACAGAGCATAGCAACCACCCTGGGAGGGCCTATGGGCCATAACAATCAGTTGACCAATCAACACAAGGCAAACCCTCCAAGCCTGGAGCCACACCAATCCTGAGCCTGTGCATACCCCTAGACACTCCGCTTACGCTGCCCTATAAGATGCTGCATAGAGATGCAGACACTTTGAGCTGTCTTTCCTAGCTATCCGCCATGGTGGATTGATGGAAGGCCTGATCTAACATGTGGTTAGCTCATTAAACAATAATAAAGCCTTGTGCAGTTTGCATCAAGCTTTCAACTCCACCTGGTGATTGGGGTGACGGCGGTCCTGAGCTGAGATCCTGGAGGCCTGAGCTTCTGGGGGTCTTACAAAAGAACTAACATCAATGTTGTGTTATAATATATATGTACATGTATTATATTGATTGATTGATAGATATAGATAAACATAGGTAATATAAATACATATAAATAAAAATATGGAATAATATATAAATAGAAAAGGAAGGAATATTACTGTTGTGATTTGAATGAGAAATGTCCCTCATAGACCCTTATAGTTGAATACTTGGTCTCCATTTGGTGGTGTTCTGTAGGACAGTTAATGGAAAGAGGTGAAACCTTTCTCAAGGTATGTCATTGGAGGAGGCAGGATTTGAGGGTTTGGAGCCTTTCCACATTTGCTGTTCATTCTGTCTGCTGCCTGTGTCAATAAAGCTGTGACCAGTCAAACTTCCTTCTCCTGCCAAGATGCCTAGCCTTGCCTGTTATCTTTCCTATCCCATCATTATGACTGTGAGCCAAAAAAACCTTTCTTCCTTATGTTGCTTTTGGTTATGATATTTTATCAAAGTCACAGAAAACTAACATAATCACCAAACCCTTTCTATAAAGCTAGTGTTACCTTGATATGAAATCAAATAAAGATGAAACATAAAAAGAATATTACAGACCAATCTCCCTGTTGAACATAGATTCAAAAATTCTCAACAAAATATTTACAAACAAATTAAGAACACATCAAAAAAGATTATTCACCATGACCAAGCTGGCTTTATTCCAGATATGCAGGGATGGCTCAATATATGTAAATCAATAAATGTTATAAATTACAAAAATGGTCTCAAGAACAGAAATCACATGGTCATCTTAATAGATTAAATAAGACTTTTTAAAAAATCCAACATCCCTTCATGTTAAAAGTCCTGATGTAATTCAGAAGAACCATCATATCTCAACATACAGGCTACAGCCAACATTATATTAAATGAGGGAAAACTCAAAGCATTTCCACTACAACCATGAACAAGACAACAACCATCTCTACTTTTAATCAACATAGAACTGAAGTCTTGGCCGCAGCAGTAAGACAAGAGAAGGAAACAAAAAGGTTCACAAACAGGAAAGAGCAAAGCCAACGAATCTATTTGCAGATAATATAATTCTGTGCATAAGAGACCTTAAATACTTCACCAGAATAGATTTAGAATTAATAGAAGCTTAACAGATGAAAATCAGTAGCCTTCCTATATACCAATGACAAGCATACTGAGAAGAAATCAGCAAATCAATCCCACTCACAATAGCCTTAAAAATAAGTAAACAAAATGTCTTGGAATCGCCTTACCCAAGTGTGGCGGTTTGAATAAGAATGGTCCCCATATGCTCATATATTTAAATGCTTAGTCACCAGGGAATGAAACTGTTTGAAAGGATTAGGATTAGAAGATGTGGCCTTATTGGGAGAAGTGTGTCACTAGGGGTGGGCTTTGAGGTTTCAAGCCCACTCTAGGCCCAGTTCCCCCACACACAACTGCCCTTTCTGTCTCTCTCTCTCTCTCTCCCTCACCCGCTTCCTCTCCCTCACCCTTCCTCTCTTTCCCTTCCCTTCCCTCCCCCTCCATCCCTCTCTGCCTCTGCCTCTGCCTCTGCCTCTGCCTCTGCCTCTGCCTCTCTGCCTCTGCCTCTCTCTCTGCCTCTGCCTCTGCCTGCTGCCTACAGATCAGGATATAGCACTGAGATACTGCTCCAGTTCCATCCATACAGAAATGGTCCTCACCATGATGATAACAGACTAAACCTCTGAAATGTAAGCCAGCCCCCAATTAAATGTTTTCTTTTATAAAGCTGCCGTGGTCATGGTGTCTCTTCACAGCAATAGAACACCGAATAAGACAACAAGGATGTGGAAGACCTCTATGATGAAACTTGAAACACTGGAGAAATAAATTTATAAAGAAGGTAGAAGATGAAAATATCTCCTAGGTTCACAGATTGGTAGGACTGATAGTGTAAAAATGGCCATCCTAAAAAAGCAATCTATAGGGTCAAAAAGCAATCTCAATCAAAACTGTAGTGACAAGGTAAGAGCCCCACCTGCCGTCAGGACCCTCCCATGCCCTCAGCTCAGGAGACCCATCCCACTGACAACCCTTCTGTTCCCACCTGCTGTCCCCACTGCCATGTCCCTGTAAGTCCCTCAAGCCACATGAGTGTCCAGGCCCCTCCCCCTGAGGAGGTTCCACTCTGTTGAACACTAACTGTCCTAACAGCTGAACCCAGCACCCATCCTACAGAGTAAAAAGTCCAAACTCTGGACTTGAAATCCCACCAATCCCTACTCTGGAAAGCTTTACCCTGAAAAATTCCATGCCCCTCCACAAAAATAAATAAATAAATAAATAAATAAATATTAGAAAAAAAAAACTTCTATATAAACCCTGCCTTCTGTTCAGTTCCCTGCTGTTTCTCACCTGAGCAGAGGCAGCCACCCTCCTGGATTTTTTTCCCTCCCAATAAATCTCTTGTGTGAGGTTTGTTGTGCAGTGTGACTTCATGGTGTTCCTTGACTCCCAACTGGCAGGATACCTTTCCATCTGAGCTTGTGCTGAAATCCTGGATAGGCTCTAGTAGTGCCTGTGTTTCTCCTCAGGAGTCTAAACTGCAGGGACTTTAGCCCTCATCTCTAGTTCACCTGTAGCAGACTCACCTTCCAGCTAATCTATTGCTCAGCACCCCATCCACCAGCGGGCAATTAGGTAAGCTTCCCCTTTAGACAGTGTAAATGTTTCCCGTGCAGCACCCCTCGGGCACTCTTGGAGGCGGAGGTACCCTTACCCACAATCTGTAAGACTACAGCTGGCCTCTTCACCTGGCTCCTAGTCCCAACCCTTGGAGTTACAATCCTACAGTTTCCCTATGCCCCTTCTGCCCTCTTCTCCCATCTTCCCTGCAGAGCTGCTGGTAACCCCACAGCTCCTTTAGGCCTTCGTGGCTTTTGCGACCCCATTCTCAACAATTTTCTGTAGAAGAGAGCTCTTTATTTTGTACTTTGGCCTCTACGAAAGCCCTGGTACCAGGCACAAGTCTCTCCTCTGGCTTACTCAGGCAAAGTCCCTGACCCTGGCTGAGTGAGGGGATATTCAATAGCTTGAGTCCTGCAGAGCCCCACGACTACAAGCCACAGTGACATTTTCCTTCTCCCTCATCCATGGGAATGTGTCTTCCATGTCCTCTCATTCCCCCTTGATCCTATTAGAAAACCTCCCGCCTGTCTCCACCTGATACCTGACCTTAAGGACACTAAACTTATTTGCTTTTGCAATCAAATTTGGCTTCAATACCCCTTTGATAATTAATCCAAAGGGCCACCTAATGGCACCCTAGACCCTAATATTATTTGGAACCTTTACAGATTCTGTGAGTGATCAGGGAAATGGAAAGAGATCCCCCATTCCCTATTTCTCTTTTCTACACTCAAAGCCCTGTTTGTTTTTGTCTAGTCTCACATACACAAACACTGTGTAAATGTCCTGTCTTTTAAGTTACCCTAGATGGATCTGAAAGTTTTGTTGCAAAGTGGGAGCCAGGAGCCAGACCTAGCAGGAGGGGGAGAAAGCAAAGGAGTAGGCCACATGCAGCACGTACACACCCTACACACACTTCACTGGCTGCTGCTTCTCTCAGCTCGCTCCTGCAGCACTCTTTGTCTAGAGCCAGGACTCAAAATGTTCCTATCTCTAAGCCTTCTTTGTTATTAGCTTACTAGCTGCAGCTTTACAGGATCTGGGTATCTTCTAGGAATGAGTGGCATGAGACTGACACTTTAGGCTGTCCCACTTCCATTAAAATCTGGCTCTGGAGTTAGGTTATGCCCCCTCCCTCCTCCAGAGCCAAGCATGTTTGTCTAAAGATTTCTTCCAAAATATCTGCCCCATATCAGGTGAGTCACCTAATTATGTGACACAAGAAGAAGAGCAAAACAAGACAAAGGGACAGACTATTCCCAATAGGAACTATTGCTACTCATCTCATACATTTTTGGTTTTGGTTTAAGGACCTAAAACTTTTATAAAACTATTTATGTAAACTTTCCGTACCTCAAGATTTGTAAGCATATTGGGTATGATTAAAAACCTGTAACAAAAGGGTTAATTTAAAACTCAAAACACCAAGGGTGATAGCTAAAAATCTATATAGGTAATCTTAAAAGAAACATGTGGCTTGAGGCCATCTTAGCTGCTGCACCCTCCCCATGGGATGGAGGCAGTCATGTGGCTGACAGTCATCTTTGGTAGGGTTGGAAAGGATGGACTTAGCCATGTGACCTCACTCCCATCTTAATTAGAGATGTCCTTTTCATAAGTTGTGGATAGTCACCACTCCCTTTACTCAATTTCTTAATCTGTTTATCTCTTTCAACACAAGATTTAGCTCCAATCCACTCTCTGGTACTTTTTTCTCCTCAGATATTTTTTCTTGCTCAACTTGCTCCTTTTCATTATGTATCTTCATCAGAATTACCACTAATATATCCACACGACTGAATCTATACTAGGCTGTTTGAGATTTCTTCTGCCAAAAGAATACAAAACTCTTCACTTTAGCCTCAGGTAGACATTTCAGACAAGAGCAAAAGACAGCCACTTCCTTAATTCTTCGCCTCTAACACCTCTTGAGCAAGCCCCCAATGGTTCAAATCATTATCAGCACCATTGTCTTCCATGCTCCTACCAGTATGGCCTACTGCTCCTACCAGTATGGTCCATTAAGCAAGGCTTAAAGCATTCAACTGCTTTCCAAATCCAAAGTGCCAAAGTCCAAATTCATCTAAACAAAAACATGATCAGGCCTATCAGAATATACCCCAGTCCCTGGTACCAACTTGTCTTAGTTGGTTTTTATTTCTGTGAAAAGACACCATGAACATGGCAACTGTTATAAGGAACACATTTAATTGGAGTGGCAGCTTACTGTTTCAGAGGTTCAGTCGATTATCATCATGATGGGAAACACGGTGATGGGCAGGCAGGTGTGGTGCTGGAGCTGAGAGTGCTGCATCTTGCAGGCAACAGGACATTGACTAAGACACTGGGCAGTATGGTAAGCATGGGAAACCTCAAAACCTGCCCCCTCAGTGACACACTTCCTCCAACAAGGCCATTCCCACTCCAACAAAGCCACACCTCCTAATAGTGCCACTCCCTATGAGCTTGTGGGGGCCAATTGCATTCACATCACCACAACCTATCAGAATGGCTAAAATCAAAAACACAAGTAGCAGCTCATGCTGGAGAGGATATGGAGCAAACTATTCCATTGCTGGTTGGAGTACAAATTTGTACTCCAGCCTCTTTGGAAAGGGGGCAGTTTCTCAGAAAATTGGAAATTGATCTACCTCAAAACCCAGCTATACCATTGTTTGGCATATACCCAATGGATCCATCTAACACAAGGATACTTGCTCAGCCATGTTTATTGTAGCTTTATTCATAATAGTCAGAAACTAGAAACACCCTAGATGTCCTCAACCAAAGAATGAATAAAGAAAATCTGGTACACTTACACAATGGAGTATTACTCATCTGTTAAAAAAAAAATAAGAACATTGTTAAATTTGCAGGCAATGGATGGAACTAGAAAAAAAAATCATCCTGATTGAGGTAACCCAGACCCAGAAAGAACAAACAGGGTATGTACTCACTCATAACAGGATAGTAGATGTAAAGCAAAGTATAACCAGGCTACAATCTACAGCCCCAAAGAAGCTAGGTAACAAAGAGGACCCTAAAAGGGACACATGGATCTCTCAGGGAAGGAGAAATAGAATAGATTTTATGGATAGCCTAGGAGTGGGTGGGATGGGAACAGGAGGAATGGGGGTGATTGAGAGAGAGGAAACTGGAATTAGGGGGCATTTGAGGGGCAAGGTACAAACCTAGTGCAATGGAAACTCCCAGGAATATATTTGGGTGACCCTAGCAAAGACTCCTAGTAATAGGAAATGTGTACCTGAACTGGCCATCTTCTGTAACCAGACAAGGCTTCCAGTGGAGGGATTGGGAGACTAACCTAGCCATAAAACCTTTGACCTACAGTTTGTTCTGCCTGCATGGGGTAAAGGTGAAGCAGAACTTGTGGAAGTTGCTAACCAATGACTGGTCCAACTTGAGACCCATACCACAAAAGGGAGCCCATGCCTGACACTGTCTGGAAGGTCAGGAACTAGAGGTGAGATAGCCCAGAGACCTAGGATAGAACTAAACACAAAGGAAAAAAAAAAAAGTCAATGAAATGATTCCCAATGATACTTTGCTATACTTCTAGACCAGAGCCTGGCATAATCGTCATCAGGGAAGCTTCATCCAGCAACTGATGGGTACAGATGTAGAAACCTACAGTCAAACATTGCTCGCAGCTTTGGGGATCCTGTGGAAGAGGAGGAAGAATTATAGGACCTAGAGGGGTCAAAAACACCACAAGAAAACAGCCCACAGAATCAATTAACCAAGGTTCACAGAGACTGAACCAACAATCAAGGAGCCTATGGGGTCTGAGCTAGGTCCTCTGCATATATGCTATGGTTATGTGGAGCTCCTAACAGTAGGAGCGGGAATTGTCTCTGACTCTTGTCAGCTTTTGCGTCCGTTTTCCTCCTCCTAATGGGTTACCTTGAGCTCAATCCTTGAGATCCACATGGTGGAGGGAAAAAACAGATTCCTGCACACTATCCTCTGACCTCCACATATGTTGTGCATATGCACACGTGCACTCGAGCACGTTGTACACACACACACACACACACACACACACACACACACATATATATATATATATAAATTTTTAAAGGATTTTGAACATAAGGGTCCTGCATAGATGGGCAATGTTGCTCCTAGAAAATATGGGATATTAAACAAAAATCTCAGTGCTATGCACAGGACATCTGACTACAAGTTAATAGTCAGGGAAGTGCCAGAGGCCTCCAAAACAACACAGGCTACTTCCATTGCTCTTGGTTACCCATCATAACTAAATGGTACAACCATATTGCTGAAGACACTACACACTTAGGTAGTAGAGCATAGAAAAATCAATCTTGAACTGACAAGGACACCTCCTCTCTCTCTCTCTGTGTCTCTCTCTCTGTGTGTGTCTCTCTCTGTCTCTGTCTGTCTCTGTCTGTCTCTCTCTCTCTCTCTTTATTTTGGTTTTTCAAGACAGGGTTTCTCTGTGTAGCCTTGGCTGTCCTGGCTGACTGGCTTGCTTTCATTGTGCTAGAAGATCCTGGGGAAGAAAAGACAGCAACCTTCTTATCCAATGCTAAACCCTGCTAACTACAATACTAACCTGCCAGGCAAGATATGGGCAATGCTATGATGGTAACATGACTATTCTGAGGGTAATTAGCACTTTCTGACTGGCTTTGAGATTAATTGATGCCTAGTCAAAAGTTCATGGCTAGAGAGGTCACAGGCCATAGAGGTTAGACCAACTACTATATGTTTGTTAAATGGTGATGTTGTCAAACCCTAACCCTAACCCTAACCCTAAACCCTAAACCCAACCCTATGCATATACCCATAGATCTGTGTGAGTCCTAACCTTGATCACAGAAACTTCTTTTTCAATGGGCAGCAGTCAATGCAAGATTAATGACTGATCAAAGTGATAAGAATTAGTGGCTATGGGGCTGGAGAGATGGCTCAGAGGTTAAGAGAACTGACTGCTCTTCCAGAGGTCCTGAGTTCAATTCCCAGCAACCACATGGTGGCTCACAACCATCTATAATGAGATCCTGTGCCCTCTTCAGGAGTGCAGGGATACATGCAGACAGAATGTTGTATACATAATAAATAAATCTTAAAAAAAAAGAATTAGCAGCTATGAATGTTCAGCCCTAAATGAGACATCTATACCAACTGTCCCTTCAAGACTTTAGGAACACTACAGAGGAGGAGGTAGAAAGAATGCAGGAGCTGGAGGACAAGGAGGAAGGCTATGAAATACTGTCCTGTGGACATGGCATGGATGTTATATTCATAAATTTACAAGTGTGTGGTCACTTGTACAAGATCAAGCCAGTCAAAGTTCCAGCATTAACAGTGGAGAGGTTCATATGGCCTCACCCCAATCTGAGGAGTTACTGGAAATTAGTGGCAGTGGTAGTGAAGAGGGAGGTAGTTTTATTTGGAGATGTGGCCACTGATATACTGTCCATGCTCTAGACGATAGCTAGCCCCACACCCATGTGCACACAAGTAGCACTAATTGGACTTACAATGTTATAAAAAAATTTCAATAATTTAAAAATAAAAGATTATAGCTACCAGTTTCTGAAACTTCAAGTTTGGGTATATGTCTGAACATGGGTCCAATTCTAACTTTCTATGGAAAATTCAATCTTTACACAGAAATGAATTACCTATTCAAAATATTATTCAGTGAATACTGAGAGAGAAAAAAGCTCATGGGTATTGCAAATATAAAGAAAATCTGGGAAAAGATACTTGCTAATGCTCACCTTCTAGTCCATCTTCACTCCTTGTGACTTTTACCAACCATAGAGTCACTCTGTACAGGGACTACTAGGCTGAGACCCAGAGAGACAATATTTATCCTCCTTCCTGTCCTCCATTCCAATCTCTCTAGACTTACCCTTAGTCTTGCCCCAGTTATACCCAGGAGTGCCTCCTCCAGACCACCTCCATCCCCTAGGCACTCAGCCTCTTGGTGCAGACCCAGGGATCCCTAGTTCTTTCCTGGTGCCCCTTTCAGCCTTTCCTTTAAACCTATGTGCACTGTGACTCCCAGTGACCCACTCTTTCCCAGGGACCTCACAGCCACCTCAATTGACTTAGGACCCAGAGTGAACAACAGCAACCAAAGAAGAGACCAGATATCTATACCAAGAAACACTTTAAATGTCAAACTCTGGATGTCTTGACCCCAAAACACAAATATGAACAACCTAGCCAATATGTCTCCTCCAGAAGCCAGCAAACTATTGCAATAGGCTCTGAGGAAAGCAATTTAGCTGACACATAAGACAAGAGCCTCAAAATAGCAATTGTGAATATGTTCAGAGACCTTAAAGAGGGTATGAATAAATACCTTATAAAGACTGTAAGGATATAAAGAAACAGTTGGATGAAAAAATGAAAACAATTCAAGACCAAAAGTGGGACTTAACAAAGAAATAAAATCACAAAAGAAAGCATAAACTGAAATAAACCTCAAAAGGAAAACTTCTGTATGTGAAACAAAACCCTCAGTGGTAAACCTCAGCAGCAGATTAAAAGACATGGGAGAGAAAATTTCAGTCTTGAAGACAAAGTAAAAGACATGGATAGTTCAGTCAAAGAAAACGTTAAATCTTAAAATAATCCAGGCACAAAACATCCAGGAAATCTGAAGCACTATGAAAAGACCAAACCTATGAATGTTATCTTTATATAGAGGAAGGAGAAGAAACACAGGTCAAAATCACAATTTTTTTAATCATAGGAGAAAATTTCCCCATCTAAAGAAAGAAATGTCAGGGGCTGGAGAGATGGCTCAGAGGTTAAGAACACTAACTGCTCTTCCAGGGGTCCTGAGTTCAATTCCCAGCAACCACATAGTGGCTCACAACCATCTACAATTCAATCTGGTAACCTCTTCTGGCACGTAGGCAGAACACTGTATATGTATTAAATAAATAAATCTTAAAAAAAAAAAGAAAGAAAGAAAGAAAGAAAGAAAGAAAGAAAGAAAGAAAGAAAGGAAGGAAGAAGGATCTATCAAGGTGTAAGAAGCACACCAAATAAAGAAGAACAGAAAAGAAACTCCCTATGACACATAATAATCAAAACACTAAATATACAGAACCCAAAAAAAGGACATTAAAAGCTACAAGGGGAAAAAAGTCACATATAAAGGCAGGCCTATCAGAATAACACCTGACTTTTCAATGGAGACTCTAAAAGCCAGAAGGGCCTGGATAGACGTTCTAAAATCTCTAAGAGACCACAAATACCCAGCCAGACTACTATACCTTGCAAAACTATCAATCACAGTCAAAGAAGAAAACAAAAAGATTTCAAGATAAAAACAAATTTAAACAATTTTTGTTCATCAATTCATCTCCAAGTAAGAAAAACTAGAAGAAAAAATTCAATCTGATGAGAAATATAACTACAATGAAGAGGAGACAAAGAATAATAATCCTAGAACAGTAAACCAAAGAGGGAAACCCCCACACCAAAATAACAAAATAACAGGAACTGATAAATAATGTTCATTAATAACTCTCAACATCAATGGTCTCAATTCCCCAATAAAAAGATACAGACTAATAGATTAGATTGAAAAACAGGATTCATCTTTCTGATGCATGCAAGAAACACCTCTATATCATGGACAGATATAGCCTAAGGGCAAAAGGATAGAAAAGGTTATTTCAAATAAATAGACCCAAGAAGCAAGCAGAGTTTAGCATTACTATGTTACTATGGCAGAGAGGGCATGGAGAGCAGGGCAGCCCCTGACATGGCTAGCATGTTTCTCCTTTTAGTCCATCTGGGACCCAGCCTATGGGATGGTGCTATCTATATCCACTAAGAGGCCTTTACCTTAGTTACTCCTTTCTGGAAAGACACTCACAGACATGCCCAGAGGTGTGAGTGCCTCACTAATTTCCTATGAACATCTCAATCCAATCAAACAGATGATCAAGATTAGCCATCCCAGCATTAAAGAAATCTAGACGCAGGACCAAGTATTACCCACTCTACTGCATTTGAGCTCCTAAGGGACTCACTCTATAATACCAACACAGTCTGAAAAATCAAACTGCCCTTATTAGTCATCAACATCTTAGTAGGGATTAGGTTCTGAGCCTGACTTTTAATGTAATAACAATGGAACAATAGGACAGAGCTATACTGAGACTCTGAGCATCAAGGGGCAGCATCTGAACTGAATATAGTAAGTGGTGCTAGGTGAGAAGCAGTTACAGATAAAGACTGACCTATTAAGACAGCCAGCCTGGAAGCAGCAATAGCACACTCCCTTGCCTTGGTGAACAAAGCACCAGCTTCAGAGGGCCCAGCCCAGATTCTAATTCCGGTTCAGGTTTTCATTGGACAAGTATGTCCATGCCCTGGAGCAAGGAATGAACCTGAGTTCCAATCCTTATATGAGCAGTGAACAGCTGGGCATTTTACTTAAATAGTACTCAAGCCATATTGCTCCACTTTAAAGAGAAATCAGATAGAGGCGCCCAGCATTTATGAGAAAGAAACATTGTCTGAAGAGGTAAATTAGGGTCTTATTCCAGCTGCTGAGGTTGGGTACTGTACTCTTCCTCAGTCTTATCTACATGGAACAATGGTTAAAATTAGCACAGGCTCGGATTATAAAGCACAAAATATTACAGAAGAGGCCACCATGGCCAGCACATAGCCCATGACTTAGCAATGACTTAGGAATCCAAATCTTACATGTGCTCCAGTTCCTTCTGTGAATCTTCCACGGAAATACCCAGCAACACACAGATGCCCCGTCCAATGGCACTTATCTGCTCTCCTCCAACTACCAGGAACCAAAAGGGAAAAAAGACAGAGATGTAATCAGGCATCATGAAGCATTTTTTCAGGCACTCTATGACCATTCTTAACACCACACATCCTTCTTACAACTTCTTTGATTAAAGTCAGTGAGTATATGAGCCAAAAACTGCCATCCACTCTTCTTTCTTATCCGGAACAAATGAGCGCTGGAAGGTGAATAATCATTGAGCAGAATTTTAGCACCATATCTTATCTTCAACTTTGGGTAAATGCCTGGAACTTTCCACAGTCTCATACATGCATCTAAGAACGAGAACAGGGATTTCCTCCCCAAGAAACTCCAGCTCTGCGGGATTAACTCTCAGAAAGGAGATCTGAGCAGCAAATCCAGTGATGCAAAATGCATACGGCACAGAATGGAAAATGTTCGCATATAAACAAATATGTTTTTCCTGCTTACTGCAAAGGTGAATTCACTATCTGTAAACACTGTGACTTACATGCTAAGTGTCACTTCAGAAACTGCTGTCATCTCCCAGTGTGTTACCAGAGTGGCATTCAGAGCCAATGACCTCTAAATCTTTTGAATCATATACTCTTCGCCCATTAAAAAAAAAAAAAAAAACCTCTAAGAACACCATGCTAATATCTGTGTGTGTATTTACAGTCAACTGTATTCCCTACTACCTTTAGCCAATATCATAAATGTTGGCATGACATTTAATTAATATTCATCATTATGATGGTGAAATTACACCCATATTTTAAGTGGCAACCTTGATAATTTTCTCCTTTTTGCCCAATTTCATTGTATTACTGTTGGTTTTTGTTTTGTTTTGTACTGACCTAACGTTCCAGTCAGGAATAGGTATCAATAGATTTCTGAATGTGCAAACACCAAAACTTAATGCAAAACCAGACATGTCCAAGGTGCTTCTGGCTGTGGACATTCATGC